GGATGACGATGAGGATGAAGAAGTAAAGAGATTGTATGAAGAACTGGAGGAAGAAGTGGTAGAGGAGGAGAAACAGAAAGGATTGATAAATAAGTGGTTTAGAGATTTTGCTAAAAACATTTCAATAAGAGTAAGTATTATTTATTTACAAGAATTGAATAATATATATATAAATTCATTTTTATTTTAATCTGATTTTTTAGAGTGGCATTACTATCGATACCTTTAGAGATATTAAATTCTCTAGAAATCCATTTAAAAACCAAGTATTATTGCAACCAACCACCAATTGCCTTGTCCACTTAATCAATTTATCTTTCTTGGTGATAACAATGGCAGATGTGGAAGTTGTAAATTTGGAAAGAATACAGTATGGGTTAAAAAATTTTGACATGGTACTTATTTTCAAAGATTATTCACATCCACTAGTACACATTAACACTATTCCAATGAGTCAACTAGAAGGTGTAAAGAGTTGGTTGGATTCAATAGGTATTGTATATTATGAAGGGACACTCAATTTGAATTGGACACAAATAGTGCGAAACATTAACAAAGATCCAGCTGGTTTTTATACAAATGGAGGTTTGTCATTTTTAGACATGGATGGGAAAGATGATGATGACTTGGAAGTGTCATCTGATTCCGCAAGTGAATTTAAGCTTACAGAGAGTGAAGAAGAAGATTCTGAGGCAAGTTTCATCTATATTCATCATTGTCATTATTTATAATAGAATCATTTTATCTTTTTGATTTTTTGATTTTTTTTTTTTTTTTGGAAAGTTCATAATTGACAAGGAAATATACATTTCAATTAATATTACAGAGTAGCAGTGAATACCAAGAAGAATCTGTTAGTGCATCAGAATTGGAGGAAGAAAGTGACGAATCTGTTTTAAGTCAGGATGAACTTAAAGAAAGGGCTCCTAAAGGTTCGTATTGTATATACTTTAATGATTTATTTTTTTAAAAAAATAATGATAATTCAACAACATTGTTTATTGTGTTTATTGCTAGTTGATAAGAAAATACAAGACATTAAGCGTAAAAATTCTAATGATGTTCATGGCAGTAGTTATGCCTCACATCTGTATCTGAAAGGAATCAAAAGGATTCTTTGGTAACGATGATTTTAATAGTATTGTAGACTGCGATCAGGAGGTCTCCAGGAATTAGAATCAAAAAAGTCCTATCGTTTGACAAACAATGATCCTATTAACTATCGATTCAACAGTTGCTTTAAGTTTTGCGTTTTTTATAAAGATGAAGAAGAACAAATGGTAATGGCTAATTTGTTGATGCTTATAATTTATTGTTAGAATTTCTTGGAAAAGCTGCAGGGACAATTTTTGCTCTGTCGTTATTGATCGCTGGTCAAGTTCAACACTTTGCAGCTACAATTGCTGGCCAAGTAGTGCAAGCAATGATGGAAGAACTTATAAGTTGGAAGAATGTGAGACCATGGGTAAGGAACTTGTTACAGAGCTATTGCTATTACACCTGCAATGCTAATTTGTTATTTTGAAGACTCAAGATGGATTTAATAGCATGTTGGTGGCAAGTCAAGTGGCATTGAGTATTCAATTGCCATTTGCTGTTATTCCATTGATTTATTTTACTAGTAAAAAAATTGATATTAGAAAAGTTGACACCAACTTCAAACAATAATGTGATTAATTAAACAATAATAATAATTTTATTTACCATTACTAACACGACCAAATTTTTCAAAGTAATCTTTATCCAAAAAATGTGGATATTTAGTAGCATGATCGTTTAACATAAATGGATGTGTTAAATTATTAAAAAATATAAGAGATCTTTTTTTAGGTTTTGGTGAAGCAGGTGATAAATCTATCATTTCAAGCCTTGATGGACACCATAAACGAGATATAGGTGGTGTGGTGAAAATAAGCGATTGCTGTGGTGCACTTTTTGGTGTATCGTCATTGTCTGATTGAAGTTTAATAAATTTACGAGTGATAGGTGAAAGGTCTTCATTCAGGCTTCTACGCTTATGTAAATTTGATTTTATATTATTAACTTTGCTTATTGGTGTTGTTGTTACTTGAGATTGTCCTATTTCAAAGTTTGCACTCATATTTTAGGAGATGTATTAATATGTTGTATGTATATGTAAAGGATATGTGCGATCTAGGGAGATTTTATAAAGGAAATTCTATTTTATCGATTAAAATTTTGTAAACTATTGTGTTTACACATAAAAAAAATGTATTTATGAATAAAAATACACGCGTTCGCTAATTTATAAAATTTGTCGATCACTAAAATTTTTACATAATTTCAATTTCAATT